AAATAAATAAATAAATAAATAAATAAATAAATAAAAAGAAGAAGAAAGAAAGAGACAAATATAGCAAACAAAAACAGCAGAAAGTTGGCAAACAGGTTTTTTTTTTTTAGGTTTTACAGCTCCTAGCCATATTCTACCTGCCCTGAATTTATAGAGATGAAAGTACCACTTTTCACTGACCATTAAAAATAAAGAGAACCAGTCTATTTGTGTCAAATCCACCATGTACAAACTTTGTCCTAATACGTTTACATAAAATAGCATATATGCCTTGTATTTCTATGTCACCTATCTGTACTGAACTCCAGCTTTGTGGGTCAGGGAAGTTTAGGTTAAATTCATTTTGGCAAATTCGAGTTCGTAAGGTGTTAAAAGAACAATCTGATTTATAATCAGGATTGACAGTAAATGTATAACCTTAAGATTTCAATTTTTAGGGGACCAGGAGGAGGCATGGTGGTTAAGGTGCTGGACACTCCCACACAGCTGACCATGGTTCGAGTCCCAGACCTGGTAGCTTGCTTTCTCACTTTCTCTCTCTCTCTCTCTGGTCAAATAAAATAAATGAATAAATAAATAAAATAAAATAAATAATTCCCAAAAAATCATGACAAATGTATGTTTTAAAATTTTTTTCAATATTTTTTTATTTGGAGAGATCTTTGCTATAGGGTACATGTGCTCACCAGAAAGACAGAGACAGAAAGCGAGAAACCCTCCCTTCAGGGGGAATGGCTATGCCGCAATTCCTTCCCTTCCATTCTCCTCTTAAGATTTTGGGCATGCATACACGTGTGCCAGCGTGTTTCAAGCTGCTGGGGCTAGGACTCAAACCGCAGTTGACCAAGTGGGAGTCCAGTGCCTTAACCACTATGCCACCGTCTGATCCCAAGATTTTAATATTTATTCTTATAAGAAAATTGTTTTCTTGGGTCAAGTCGTCTTTTCAAGTTGTCTTCTCAGCTATGTTCATCTGTTTAAGACATATAAAAAGAGCAGATTTCAGGACCAGCAGTTAGCATAATGGCTATGTCGCTGGACTCCCATGTAGTCGACCACGGTTCGCGTCCCGGACCTGGTGGCTTAAAACTCACGCCGGGCGCATGTGCGTGTGTGCCAAGATCCTGAGAAGAGAACAGAGGAGAAGGGATTGCGGGGTGACCATCCCCCCTGGGGGTGATTTCTCACTTTCTGTCTCTCTGTCTCTCTCTGTCTGTCTGGCGAGCTCACACGCCCTATAGTGAAAACCTCTCAAAAAAAAAAAAAGAGCAGATTTCTTACATAATAATTGTCAAATTAATTAAGGATTTTCACATTTAAATCTGAACTTTAATCCTTATCCCCCTTGTCAGTAAAGAAGGCATTTATAAATCAGAGCTAAATATATCCTCTGGCTCAAGTTGACCACTCATACGAGAGCCCAGCCAGGTCAGCAGGTCAGCACGTGCTGGGATTCGAATGCAGGTATTGGTGATCTCCTAAGAATGCTTCTCTTACAAACTACATTCTACCTCACCCATCTCGGCAGGAACTGGTACCTGTTGACTTCCATCTCCTCCCAGTAGCAGTCACCTCCTGTACTTTCCCAGTTTCCTTCTCAGTGGAGAGGTCTTGTGCAATTCTGCACTTGATGCTGTGCCTGCTCTGTGGTTGACATGCAGTAACAAGTAAACCTTTGTCATGCTTAGCATTATCACTTGTTTCATCGCCACTGCCTCATTGTTCAGGTTCTTAGTATGTCTCAACCCT